TTTTACATTAGTAATTCCTTTTCTGCATAATTTTATATTATTGTTAATGATTAAATAATTAAAGCAACAAAACAACCTGAAGAGCCGGTTCGGAGCCTTAACTTAGAGAAACTTAGTTTCTCTAAGTTAAGACAACTCAAATAAATTGAGTTTATCAGCATTTTTGCATAAAAAGTACTGGTAACTTATTTAAATCGAGTTCTGATAACAAATTGATAAAAACTGAGTTCAGCCTATTTAATATTTTTAATTAAACACAATATTACATTTTACAGTGAAAGCATCAAAGCTATTATACTCCCTTTCAGCCCTGTATCTTTATTTTTGTACTCAGTCCCTAAGAGGTCAGTTCATCCTCTGTCTGAATCAAGCTCCTTACTGTTTAAGGCCTGCGAGTTTTTAAAGCAGCTCTAGTCTGATTGGCTGTCCTTTGCAAACAAATGACTTGAACAGTGGGTGGGTGGAGTTTCTGTGCTCACAGCAAGAGTTGTGTGCCATATTAAGTTATTCACTCTCACTGATGTCATACAAATCCCGAAGCAGAAAAACAGATGGAAATAAAGAATTAGGAGCAGTCACAGTGATTACATCCACATACACAGATTATTCAAAGCCATGATTATTAGGAGTAGCCACATCTATACCACTATTAGATGGCAGAAAATAAACAAAGTTATAGAGGCATCTGGTAAAACATAATTATATTTTTTTCGACACATTTCCAAACATCAGTAATAGTTATTTCTGATCAAATACGTGCACTTTATACAGCAAATTGCAAATCTGAAATGCAACAACAAATGAATGGGTACAAAAGCATTTTTTACATTCTGAACAGGATTTTCTGTTCACAGTTCTCACCCTGTGCTTTCATTGCAATAATGACCACATTATGATCCACACTGGTTGGGAGTAAGAAAGGCTACTTTGTAAATAATTCCACTGAGTGGGAGGGTCATGCAGGCCAGTCTTGTATATATCGCTGTAAAAGTCATGCTTCTTTCATCCAAGTCAGCATCACGGATATTTTCGTTCCACTCTACTTTTGAAGTCACCAGTAACTCCTCGTGGGACTGAACGCAAGGTAATGAACTTGTGTGTCTGCTGCATAAAAATATGACGTCAGTTTCAAATCCCTGACCTTTTCTTTAATAAGAATCTGTGCATTTTAATGACTGTGCTTCTTTAAATGCACAGTAGGCAGCCGAAAAACAACATTATAAACATTAACTGCTTAACTGCAACGATTAATGGGACATCTGGCTAAACAAACCATGTTTTTTTTAGTTAAGCATTACCCTCGATATGCTATCTCAGCAAGTGAGATCCGCAGATACGAATGCTTAAGTTTAGTCAAAAGTACTTTGACCGCACAGGCTTCCTCCCCACTCACCTCCTGCCTGCTGAGGTAGATGCCACAAGGGATTAGGAGAGCTCAAATCCCCTGATTGGAGATGAGAAGGTAAATGCTGCCTCTCAAAGTGTGCAGCCTCCTGCCCGAATAAGTCATAAAAGCTGCTTTGTCCTCCCCTATGTCATGAACTCACCGGGCCATTAGAGCGGCAGGCTCACACCTTCATGTTGAGATGGAGATACAGCTGCTTCAGTGCAAGCGGACAAACTCCACAACATAGCTGTAGTAATAAGACCGCAGGCTTGGTTTTAAGCGACACAACAATGTAAGGGCCCTCTGAGAAGACACAGTTATTGTTTTATTCATAGATCCTGGACACAGAGCATTAAAAAGGTATTTCTTTGTGTTCCTTTTGTTTAGAAATGCTTATTTTTACAGGTTTCTTTCAGTGAAGAGCAAACTTATAGACAAATTATATGATCACAAGACAAGAAATAAAATATAGAAATCTGTAGAAAACCCTCAAAAATAAGAATAGGTGCATGTAATTTTTGATCTTATATTAAAGTAAATATAGGAAAAAGCTATGTCATCTTTGTTTTCTCACTGTGCCTTAACTTTGATTTGATTTAATTTGATTTTAACGGTAGTTGATTAAAGGGCAGCCCTGAAAGGCACTGCTGCTGTGAGAACACATCTAACACATAAAGCTTTTGGACTCTTCAGAAATATTCAAAGAAGTAATTGTGCTGTGAATGAAGGCTTAAAGTGCAATCCTGAAGCCGGGGCGTGGATTTCTGTGCTGGGGGTGGCATTCTGGAAATCTCAGGTATCAGCACTATCATATCAGGAGAATGATAAAGAGATACATTTATAAAGGGATACTGTAACTGAGCCGAATGACACATCCTATTCCTACTTCTTAGCACATCTACGAGGTACAAGATCACACCAAAGAGGTAAGTGAATGTGTTCTTAGTCTCACTTCTCTCAAGTGTTAGGAGAGCATGTTAGCTGTCATGTGATAATGATTAAGCTTTAATAAAACAGATTTTCTTAAGTCTTAACAGCTTGCATGTGCTCTTCGGTGCCTCAGTTTAATTACAGTAGCGTTCTGTTCTCTTTCTACACAAATAAAAACACTAATAGACTTTGAAAATCATGTTTCTCAGAAGAAAGAATCTTCTTCCGGAGGCTGACCTGACAATTATTCACTCACTGAAAAACACTCCTCACCTTTTGCCCCACTAGGTCGCTCCTTAAATCTCTCTCGTTCACTCATCTTCCATCCTGATCCAAACCCACAGAAGTATGTCGTGCAGCGTAGTGAAGTCCTTTCTGGTGAGCCTATCCCGGAGGAAGCCCCTCGAGCCCGACGGGGAAGAGTCCACCTTTAATCGATGCTTGACCACTCTGGACTTGGTGGCCCTCGGTGTGGGCAGCACCCTGGGGGCTGGTGTCTATGTCCTCTCTGGAGAGGTGGCCAGAGACACCGCGGGACCCAGCATCATCATCTCCTTCTTCATCGCTGCCCTGGCCTCTATATTTGCTGGGCTATGCTACGCAGAGTTTGGTGCCCGGGTTCCTAAAACAGGCTCAGCATACCTTTACAGCTATGTGACGGTGGGAGAGCTCCTTGCTTTTATCTCTGGCTGGAATCTGCTGCTCTCCTACGTCATAGGTGAGTATGTGCAAATTGTAACATCTATTATTCAATGATATTTTCTTCTTTTATTGATGATTTAGTGATCTCTCCTCCTAGCTGTATATGCAAACAGTGCGTAAACCTAACATAATCTTTTTACCACCCTCTGATGCTCATAAATGATCAACCACCATTAAGAGACTATTTAATACTTTGACCTTTCAAAGAGTGGAACAGCGAATTCTTGACTGCTTTTTTTCTACCTCACTGTGTCATATCTCTTGCTACATTAATTTTATCAATAGCACATACATAGCACATCACTGCTTTGCAACAATCCCAATAATAACCTCATAAACCAGGACTGTGGTTCAAAACCCTGAGTTATAAAGAGGGTAGGAAGTTTCTTTTTCTTTTGTTTATGGCTGCAGGTAAATTATGGCTGATTAATTAGTTTATTACATTGACTATCTATTCACTATCTGCTCAGGGACATCGACTGTTGCACTGGCATGGAGCGGAACATTTGATGAACTCATTGGGGGAGTCATGTCAAAATACTTTGCAGAAAATGCTGCCATGGGCCTGCCTGGCTTAGCACCTTACCCAGATGTCTTTGCTGCAGCTCTGATCGTGCTCTTGTCAGGTAAAATAGTAAAACTGGTGTTAAATGGTGACCACAAATGAGGATGAGATCGCTGAATTAACCACGTTTTCCACGAAGGTCTCCTGTCTTTTGGAGTCAAAGAGTCAACGATGATCAACAAGATCTTCACAGCGATCAACATCCTGGTGCTGCTGTTTGTGATCATTTCTGGATTCATCAAGGGAGACATCTCCAACTGGAAAATCAGCAAAGAAGATGTGTTAAACGCCACTGCCATGTAAATAAATGCAAAAACAAAACAAAAAAAAAAACACTCAAGTAAATCACGACCTATATAATTAAAGCATTATTGTTCTCCTGGATGAGCTAACTGGAAATAACTACAAAGTATTGCTCTCTACCCGCTGCAGAAACGGAACTGACATTGCTAATGCAACAAGCGAGTTTGGAGTGGGCGGATTTTTCCCCTATGGCTTTGGTGGAACCGTGGCTGGAGCTGCAACATGCTTCTATGCTTTTGTTGGATTTGACTGCATTGCTACAACAGGTAAGAAGACAATTTGTCAGTTTAGCTTAGTTCAAGCTTCTTTCAGCTGCTTCCTTATAAAATTTTTTGACTGACACAACCCCAAAAGGGATTTTTTTTATCTCCTCCCAGGATCAAACTGGGGATCTTTTACCACTACACTATGTATCCAACATAACATAACATAACATAACATAACATAACATAACATAACATAACATAACATAACATAACATAACATAACATAACATAACATTACATAAAGGACAAAGATAATTGGAAGAGAATGAATGGATGGAAAAAATATTGCAATCGTGGATAATGGATGAAATAGTGCTTTAATTCCAGAGAGGAGTAAATGACATTTATAATGATGAGTATTTCCTCTACATTCATTAATAAAGCACACTAAAAATATTACCTCAGTATCGCCGAGTATCTCCTTTGATTTAATAGAGCAGCTGATTTTTTTCACCATAGATTCTTTACATTTTTATGGTGGGTTTTTTTAGTGGTGCTGGGAAAGGGTTAGAAAAATCGATACAGTACGCTATTGTATCGCAATATTTTGTGTGGCAACATTGTATCGATGCAGGGACAACATTCTGGGAATAATATGAACAACGAACAATCTTCCTGTAAATAATCACGGTTGGACTTGGACCGACTGTAATCACTCAGAGGGATCTACAAATTTACAAATAACTTGCATCTGATTTATAAATGCAGACAGATTGCCAGCATGTTGCCATCAGTCAGATGTCAATGAGAAAAACTCGAGGGAACTGGACTCAGCTGGCTGCAGCTGGTTGCATTCCTATAGAACAGGAAGTGCAGATTAATAGTTAGATTTGAAATTATGTCTGTGTTATCAGACACAGATTACATGTAATTTCCAAACTGACCTCATATAATTGCAGTGAGATAGCAGATTGACTCCGTCTTAACGCAACATTTATGGCAGGTTTCAGTAACTGTGTTGGTATGCTTGACAATTCCATTTTGTAGCAAAAATAAATAAATAAATAACTGAAGTGGGATAACTTTATCTTATTGGCTAAAACAGACTGACAAAGTTTAATGTTGAGGACATAATTTGCAGATGATTCTCTCCACTAGTTTTTATGATTTTTGTGTAACAATGCATGAAACCCCTGCAGGAGATTTATCTTGTAAGGGGGTCACTAACTTCTTGGTTTCCTTTCTTTTAGGAGAGGAGGTGAAGAACCCGAAGAAGTCTGTCCCTATTAGCATTGTGGTCTCATTGCTTATATGTTTCCTGGCCTACTTTGCTGTGTCTGCTGCTCTCACCCTTATGATGCCCTACTACCTGCTAAGTGAAACGAGCCCACTGCCAATAGCCTTTGACTACATTGGATGGGGTCCTGCCAAATATGCCGTGGCTGTGGGTTCACTGTGTGCCCTGTCAACTAGGTATGACAGCATGGGTAGTGCATGCATGGATCAAGTGATGTTTAAAGCTCAAAGTCAGAAAGAAAAAGGTGCAAAAATAAATGTATCTCATTTGGAAAAAAATAGAAAAATTGTAATGGATGTTGAAAAGTCCAAAATGTTGAAAAATAAATCTAGAAAAGTAGCTACTAAACAGTAGCTAACTCAAAAAGTTCATTAACAATGTAACGTTAACGTAAAATAACTCAGCTAAGTAATAATTAACAGACAAGGTGTGGAGGACATGTCAGGTTCCAGAGGCTGTGAATGATTCTTCCACTGCCTGTGATGTTTGCTAGGTGGATAAATTGTGAAATTGCCAGTACATTCTTCCGACTTCAGTCATCATAGCATATTAAGCTGTTAAAAACAAGCCATACGTCACATCAGTTGGTTAAGAGAGAGTGTGAGTTTTTGACACTGATTTGTGAAATGACTAATTTAGATTACAAATTGCATTCATTTTGTTGTTTGTCTTTCCAGTCTGCTAGGTTCCATGTTCCCGATGCCTCGAGTACTTTTTGCCATGGCGAGAGACGGGCTGCTTTTCAAACCTTTGTCCAAAGTCACCACCAGAGGCAGTCCAGCAATAGCTACAATATCATCTGGCATCGTGGCAGGTACAGGTATACACTTTATAAACAAAAGTACTGTAAATATAATAGAAGTAATAAACCTAAAACAAAAAATAGTACATGTAATAAAATACTTTTGAATGTGTCCAGTAATAACTCTTATTTTAATGATGCTTACATCAGCTTTTGGTTCATACATTATATGAACAGAGATACGGTTGGCAAGGTATCTATCTTAATTGCCCCTTGGGGATAAATAAAGTCTCTCTGACTCTCACTCTTAATCTTTGAATTCAGCTCTTTTTATTGTCATTGCAATATGCGTTTGGAATCCAGCCATGCAGTCTGCCTGTACAATCGCATGTGAACATTGCTCTAAAGAGCTTACTGGACTTAAGTGGTATGCTGTGGTACTGTAATAGGATACCACCATAGAAAAAGTAACCAACACTGATGACTCCAACCTCTTCTGGTATTAACATCAGCACAAAAGCTGTGTGCCAGGAGCTTCATGATGTGGGTTTCTATAGCTGAGCAGCTCCCGTAGGTGTCATGTGTATAATATTTTGTACTTATGCTAATGCTGTTCTGCATGATCCACAGAGGTCGAAGTTTATGGGCTAGAAATAACATTTAATTCCATTTTTCTCCCTGGCTTTAGCCATCATGGCTCTACTGTTTGATCTGAATGCCTTGGTGGAACTGATGTCCATTGGTACTCTGTTTGCTTACACACTCGTGGCAGTATGCATCCTGATACTGAGGTACACTTATCTGTTAACACCCTGCAGCTATGTATTCACTCTTCTGTGCAAATCGACTGATTTTTTTGTGGTCGTTGTAGGTACCAGGTGGGTCCATCTGAAGACACAGAACTTAAGATCACAGAATCAAAGAAAAAGTTTAGCTTCTTCAAACCTCCAAAAACACCCAACTCTTCCACAGCGCGAACAGTCACGCTCTTGACCGTACTTTCTGGTAAGTAAGGAAAACATCACTGAGGCATCTTTACTGATGCTTCTGTAGCACTGAAGTTCTTTTCTTGACAGGTTCATGACGGGCTTTCTTGCCTCTAATCTTTCTCCCTCGTCTTTTACTTTCCCACTGCAGTTCTGTGCATTCTTGCACTGTGCATTACTCTGAGCCAAGGTATGGAAGCTCTTGCCAACACTCAAGCATGGAGCATCGTGCTTGTCTGTATCTTTGGAGTGCTCCTGCTGGTCAACTTGTTCCTCATCTGGAGACACCCAGAGAATCCCACGAAGGCATCGTTCATGGTAAGAAGTGGTTCAAGCAATTTCTTGTAATCACCAACCAGGAATCTCACATTTCTGCATTTTCTCCTTCTTCAGGTACCTTTAATCCCTCTTCTGCCTTTACTGAGTACTTTAATCAATGTCTACCTGATGGTGCAGTTAGGTGGTCAAACATGGATCCGATATGCTGTCTGGATGCTAATAGGTATGATGGCTATATTTTTGTTTGAGAAGATTAAAGGGGCTTTATCTAGCTGGGTGACCACCACTCTTCTCTTTTCTTCTCTTCTGCAGGGTTACTTATCTATTTTATCTACGGAATGCGTAACAGCGTCCAGAGGAAGCGACTCATGACCAACCACACAGAGCTCGAAACAGTCAGCGGCAAAACAGACAAGGATACCATTAAAGAAGAGAAATTCTGAGCTCAAGCGGGGTGAAGACAGATAAACTGAGATGTTACAGTGAGCGACTTGCTTTAACTTATAACCACTGCTTGAGATGCACCGGTGCTGCTGCCTTTCAGCAGTCTTCAATCTACGACAGCACCGAAGCAAATGGCCAGATAACTTGTTAACTCGACGGTTTATTACATCCTAACGCAGTCTGTTTGTTATCTAAATGGTCCAAAATGAAACACTCCCTAAGATATATTTGGACCTAGAAGATCTTCACTTATCACTGATTTTCACATTGTTGTTAACGATATTTATCTGTATGTCTTGTCGTATTAGTGAGCCTGTTCCAAAGAAAAAATATTCTGTAGATTATTTGCTTTTTATAATTCTGAAATAACAGGTTTACACTTTTCTTATCAAGTGCAAAATGTAAATTATTTTTATTTCAGTTTTACATTATTTTAATTTTATTTTAATATATATTTTTAAATGTGCAGAATTTGACTGAAGACCTTATATTTTACAGAGCTGATACAGAAAACCTTTTATGGGATTTCATCTTCCATTTGTAAATATGGAAACTGCATGCGATTGTTAACTAAACGACTGCCACTGTACACTTGAATTAAAAATTAAATGATTCGCTTTTGTAAAACACTTAAATATGGAGTTACCTTGTTGCAGTCTGTGTCGATAAAGAGGTAAAAATAAAGGACTACTATAAGTTCACTCCCACTGCAGACGTGCGCAAAGAAGCAGATATGGCTCACTATTTAGAGTCGACTGAGAACAAAAGGACCTTTGAAAAGAAGCTTATCTGTGTCATGTTCAAAATCAGGGCTTAGCTGGCCGCTCACAAGGAAAGGTTTACATTGTTTCCACTGCATCATCTCAAAAATGTACTTTAAGTAATGTGTGAATATTTTAGGTGGAAATCTTTCAGGCATATTAAAAAAACAACAACATATTAATCTAGAGCTAACTGAGACAAAACTTTTATTTACCCATAAAAAACAGTAATGAAGGACATAAAGTGTATTAAACACCAAATGCTCCTTTTCCAGGCTGTGTTTCTGAGGCTCAGACTCATGCTGCTAGCACACTTACAGTCCGGCAGCTAAATAAACAGGCTGTGCCATTCCAGATTGGAGGGGCCTCATTCTCTGGACCCTCATTGGTTCGGACAGGCTTGAAAGCCTCCATTGAGCCACACTGAAGGAATTTAGGGTACTAATGCCACTCCGAGGAAAAGGAATTTGCGTGACTCTGATAAACAGCAGACTGCTCACTTTGCAAGCTTTGCCCTCCTCCTTCCTTCTCTTTCTTCTTCTCTCATTTTCATTTCTGTTGTATATTTCTCTGGGTTGAACTCCATGAACTAACAATCAGCTCATCAGCCATGCCTTTGGCGAACATGTCTGGGTCAAAGTGGAGGCTGGTACTCATTGCTCTCCTTACTTGTGCCTTAATCTTCGAGTTGGGTAAGTGACATTAGTCCCTTGTCATCCAATTCGGTGAACGTGATATTCATAGATTTGCTGAGGAGGGCAATTTTCTTTCTGTCTTTTGCACAATGTGGCTTATTCTAGAAGCAAAAATGATACTTTTTTTCTCATTTGTAGCAGCCTTGTCTTTGTTTGTAAAATATTCTGAAACATGTGCTCTGCGTACTGTGTATCTTATTGGCAAAAAGATGCCCAAGAGCAGAAGGCTGTTCTGGGAAGGACACCAAAGCCAAGGAAACCAAAGCATGAGAAATCAACAAACAAAGGGCCCAGAGCGATAACAGTCAAACCAAAGGTCAAAGCTGCACGTGCAGAGCAGACCCTCCTCACGCAGGTATTACGTATGTTATAAATTAACTTTTTGATTTTGCAAAGTTCACGACTAAAGTACATGTCTGTGTCTGACTAATAAAGGTGTTAAACAAAGGCAAGTTTAAGAAGGTGGGTGAGACCATAAATGTGCAAACAGGAGATACTCTGGAGCTGAGGTGCAGGGGCAAACCTGTGCAGTGGAGCGTCCCCCTATACCTGGAGGAGGATAATGATGGGAGGCTCAGGTAACTTTTCATGTCTACAGATCTTTAATCATAAAGTGCAGCATAAGCTTGAGTAAGTAAGGAAGTAAATGTGTTCTTTCACTCCTTTTTGCTCTGGCTGTGCAGAATTGTTCAGTATGAGCGATATGGGGTTCTGACGTTGGTCAACACCACTGGTGCAGACACGGGGGAGTACACATGCTACCCAATGTACTGTGAAGACACTGACTGCAGGAAGGAATACAGCAAAGCTGTTAAAGTCTTCGTCTTCTTTCCAGGTGTGATTAATACATTTTATTGATGCTTAGGCTTGCATTTCTTTGAACTGCAGACTCTTTTTTACATTCTAATAATCTTATCATAAATCTGCCATATCTCCTCTCTGTATGGACCAGATCCACAAGAACTATTTGTTCCATCGTCTGACTATTACAAGGTGATTCAGCTGAGGAGCAACTGGCCTACAGTCCTACCCTGTCAGGTGACGTCACCTGAGGCTAAAGTAACTCTGCACCGTGAGTACCCACCTGTGGAGCTGGACGTGGACAGGAGGGAGATCTCCTTTGATGTCAAGAAGGGCTTCACAATCCATCGACCTCGGCCATATCATGCCGGAGCTTTGTACTGTGTTGCCAGTCTGGGAAACCTGCGGCAGAGCTCTATGAAGTACATGCTCATCTATGTTAACTGTGAGTTCAGGTTTTCAAAGTTTTAGAAATTTTTTCAGAATTTTAGAATTTATGGGGTTTTTTTTATTGTAAATCAATGAAAACTTTTGAAAATTAAGGATGAAAATCACCCTCAATTACAGGATTACTGGTGACGACACAACATTTTACTTACTAATACATCACATTTGCTCTCAGATCCTAGGGCTCCTCCCGCTCCAGTGATCCAAGCGTCACCGAGCACAGTGACTGTGGGGGAGAATCTACGTGTCACCTGCTCTGCGATGGGAGAACGAGACGTGGCCATAGAGTTCACCTGGGATTACCCAGGACAAGAGGTCAGACACTCGTGGAAACAGGGCTTGTACGCTTTAATACAAACTTAACTTAGTTCTGTATGGCTTTTGTATTAATTCGAATAAGCTTTCTTTCTGAAATAGTATGAACATGAATTCTAGGTTGTGAACTGAAATACTACTCAAAAAAAGTCCTGCAGTTGGCAAATATCTTCAGTCGGTTTAGCTTGCGTTGCCTTTTTAGCAAGTTTATTATTAGTCAAAAAGTATTCAACCTATGGACTGCCTGAACCTTATCCCCTTTAAACAGGGATTTAATAGATATGTATTTATTGGTGAGCCATGAGGAAATAAACTGCATCATGATAACTCATTGTAATGTTTACTCCTGTGCTGTGTGTGTGTGTGTGTGTGTGTGTGTGTGTGTGTGTGTGTGTGTTCCTATGCTTGGTCCAGATTGGGAGACCTCCGTACACACAGGAGAGCGTTATTCCGGTCAGCGGAGGAACTGCTCAGCAGCAGTCTCAGTCTGTGCTCCTCGTGGATGAAGTTAGAGACGTGGACCAGGGAACGTACACCTGCACTGCTCAGAACATGCAAGGAGCCAACTCAGCATCCACAACCATTAAAGTGGTCCCTAAAGCCAAACCTAAGAAACCATAAGTTGGATGACATTACAGACAGAAAGTCGTGGTGAGAGATCACAGCTGAGATTTGACTGTCTGAGCATTAAATGTTTTTTCTTCTTTTTAAAGATAAAAATATATGATCACAACAAAACATTATGCTCTCCAAACTGTATTGCTCAAGAATAGAAATGTGTTTGTTTAGGTAAATGTTTGTATATTAAACTTTTATTTCCATACACTCACAAGCCTGACAGTCGTGTCATTGTGAAAGATCCTCCCAAAGGTAAACGCAGGATAAGAGGGGGGAAAAGGTGATTTAAGTGACTTCGAATGTGGTCTGAGTATTTCAGAAACTGCTGATCTGCTGGGATTTTCCTGCACGACCATCTCTAGCTTTACAGAAGATGAAAAGAAAAGGATAAAATATCAATTTCTCTGGAGGAAAAAATGTCTTATTGGTGATATAGGGGAATGGTCAGACTGCTTTAAGCTGGGAAGGCAACAGTAATTCAAATATTCGCGTGTTAAACCCAAAGTATGCAGATGAGCATATCTGAAGGTACAACACTTCAGAACTTGAAGCGGATGGACTACAGCAGCAGAAGACCATGCCGGGTGTGGCTAATGTCAGCTGAGAACAGAAAACTGAGGCTAAACTGCTCAATAGAAGGTTAGGAGAAGGTTAACTGCCCTGATGAATTTTGATTTCTGGTGGCATAAACAGCATGAAAGCATGGATCCATCCTGCCTTGAATTAACAGCTCAAGCTGGCAGTAATTTAATGGTATGTGGGATGTTTTCTAGTAGCAACTGAGCATAGTCTACCTGAGTAATGTTGCTGACCATATCTATTCCTCTTTCCCTTTATGACCATTGACCTTATCATGAAGTTTGTCAATGAGTTCACTGTACTCAAACGGCCTCGGCAGTCACAATCAAACAGAGCACCTTTGAGATGTGGCAGAATTCACGTCGTGGCTGTGCAGCAACAACCCAGATTTCCCTTATAAACGGGTGTATTGTGATGTGCTGTCACCGTGTGCACCTCACTTCTCACTAGCTTGGATTGGCTTCCAGTTCTCCTTGTTGAATTACACAACTAGAAGAAGATGGATGGATGTTGTGATAAATTAACAAGCACTTCAGAGATAAAAAGTGGAAACTGGCCCTCACTATGACTTCCTTTTCTACCCATTTTGTTACCTATTAACCCCAAAGTATTATTCATGGAGCATGTGTACAATAAAGTTGTAGATAACAGTTTTATTATTGTACAGAGTCCCACAGAAAAGATGAGAGGTTAGTTTCTGGTTAAACTTGAATCAGCTGATTTTTTCTCTTACAAATTTGTATAGATTAAAGCTACTAAAAGTGAGTACTCCAGTAGTGTTCGCCCTCTTTACCTGCTAGTAGTCTAGATCTGGTATCACCTAAAAGATTTCTATCTATTTATTTTTATTATTACTTTATTGTTTTATTGCTATTATTAATCATATTATCTGCGCTGCTTCTGATTTTCTTGCATGAGCTTCTACTGTCGGTAGATGTCGCTGCCTCTCCTCCTCTCAGCTAAGTGTGTCAGTGTTACCGGGGGACAGGACAGGCGCATGTTTCCCTGCCTCTCGTGTTTTCCCTCATTCTGCTCTCCGCTATTCAAACCTCTGAGAGGGAAACCACACAGTCCCAGTCTGAACTCCACTCTCTGCACGCCGGTCGATCGCCAAAGTACTGGAAAATACCTCCGGGGAGCCACCTTTCTTCTTCTTCTTCTTTTTTTAAATCTTTTTTTCCTCCCTGCTTATAAGCACCGGGATACAGAACTGCAGCAGAGTGGCCGTGCTGGTTCCAGAGATGTCCTGCATGCGGAATATGGTGAGTGCCAGTTTGTTTTTCCTAATCTTGCCGTGATCTGCTGCCACTGCTGCGCATGCAGAGCTGCAGCTGGAAATTGTGTCAGTGCATGGTGCGTTGTGGTCAATGATGATCCAATAAATCAATCAATAAATAAAAACTTAAGACGTGAAAGGACCGCGCTTGATAAGACTGCCTGTGCAGATTAAAGCCTTTAAAGTGACACAGTGTCGCTCTCCCAAAGTTTTTAGCTCCTAAATCAGGGTTAATCCTTACGGCTACCCAGCCGTCTGCAGTGCTTTCACCCTGTCAGTGAGTATGTTAAAGAGAAGGGGCGTTGTTGGACCCATATATTTTTGTTCTTTTTAGCCTTTAACTCTGGTCACTTTGCAGCTTTGGTGGTCTCCTGCACGTCTACTGTTGGGCCTGCACGGTTGTAAATGTTTGGCTCTCTGTTTGATGCCCAGGAGTTTGGGGACAAAAGCTGTTTCTCTGTGAGCGTCTGTGTTTGGATGGCGTGGGAGGGGGAAGGAGGTTGGTGCCTGTGGGGGGATGTCTTGGGGACTGCCAGGCTGTCGTCGTGGAGACCAGAGGCCACAGGTGACCTCTGACCCGAGAAGTCGCGGAGCGTTGCAGAAGGAGTCCTTTGACTGCCGTGGTTATGGGCGTATGCTGACGCAAGAGCAAGCGCACATCAGAGAGACAAGTGCAGGCTGTTGTTGGAGACTGCGCGCTAACCATTCCTGTAATTTAGAATTGGAGGTGATGGCGGGGTGATGCTGCTGTCTCTGCTGCTGTGAGATTGCGCTCGTCACTGCATGGCAATCACCCAGACAGCTTAAGTGCTGTTTAGGCTTCAAGTCGCCACATAAAAACACATTCCTCCGTGTGATCACCCAGGAGATAAAATTCTGCAGTCAGAGCTTTAACCTCTGTGTCTGTGACAGCAGATTGCTTTCATGTAGTTTGTTTTTTTGTGTGTGTGCAGAAACTTGTTACGCCAATCAGTACATGTACAGAGATGTAATAATTTGATAACTATTTGGAGAATCTGCAGAGCAAATATAACGATCTCTCTTTTGTGTCAGTGTAAAACTAATACCTTGGCTGTCACACTGTATATTGATTTAAGCTCAAATAATCCCAAATGATCATGTGCTCTCGATCTATTAAAGAAAAAAAAAGGCTGTGACACTATTTATAGGCACATTGTACACTCTAGAATATTAAATCTAAGCTCTATGCGGGAGATTGTTGGATTTTTTTTAGGGCTTTTTGTTTATTTCTTTTGACACAGCCAGTCTTTGGTGCTCTTCTCTCAGCAGAATCAGCCAAACAGCTGATGAGAGCTCCTCGTTCAGCTGTTTGAGCTCTGGGGAATTGATGCTCCCCCGGTGAGTGTGCGTTTGTGAGTGTGCCTCTGTGTCTGTCTCCCTAAAGCACAAGCAGCTGATGAAACACATATTCTGCTGACTATTTGGTGAGCGTAGTAAAGATTAGAGGATCCAGATTGTGGTCCATCAATCAGACTGATGTTTAGTGGGCTCTCCCAGCTCTGCACCCTCATACTACCTCATACCCCCCCC